TCCACAAAAAAGACTCTAGTTGCGTCTAGGTTTTTATATTTTATCTCACAGATGAACTTTCATTTATTATAATTAGATATACGAAATAATAAAAATAGTTATTTTTTTGTAAGGATTTGTGTCATTAATATTTGAAATTTTAAGAATATGTATTTACAAAAATTGAAATCTGAATTAGAAATTTAATTATAAAAGAATAATAGTGAAATTTAATTTAATTATAAAAATATGTTGGCATGCGGGACGGGCAGGCCCTTTGGGCCAAGCCCAATTTGCAACATTTAACTATTAGAATTTTATTTAAATAATTATTTTATTGCAAGGATTTGTGTCATTAGTATTTTTAAATTTTACATATTACAACAATTAAAATTAGATTTAGGAATTTAATTATAAAAGAAGAACAATAAAATTTTGATTCACTTATAAAAATGTGTTGGTGGGCCGAACCTCCGGGCCCAGCCCAGTTTGCCACCTCTAACTATTAGCATGTAATAGATTTTTATGTTTATCCACACAAAAAAGGCTCTTATAGTTGCGTCTAGATTTTTATATTTTATCTCACAGATGAACTTTCATTTATTATAGTTAGATTTACAAAATATTAAATTATTATTTTTTTGCAAAGATTTGTGTCGTTAGTATTTGGAATTTTATAAATTTATATTTACCAAAATTGAAATCTGAATTAGGAATTTAATTATAAAAAATGAATAGTAGAATTTTAAATTAATTATAAAAATGTGTTGGTAGGCAGGGCGGGCCCTCTGGGCCAAGCTCAGTTTGTAACCTTTAACTATCAGCATTTTATGTAAATAATTATTTTTTTGCAAGGATTTGTGTTATTAGTATTTTGAATTTTACAAATTTGTATTTACAAAAATTAAAATCAGATTTAGGAATTTAATTATAAAAGAAGAAGTATGAAATTTTAATTTACTTATAAAAATGTGATATGTTTTTATATATTTATCCACACAAAATTGTTCTTATAGTTGCATCTAGATTACTATATATCTATATTTTTTACAGTAGCCTTTCAATCGACTCTTTGTGGTCTGTGTATTTGTGACATATATAAGAGATAAAGAGATGAAAAATATTTGAGTTTGTACGTTTAATATTTTATCAAACACTTTATAGTTGAAGTTGAATAAGGTAATATCAAAAGACCATTCATTAGTTTATTAATATAATAATAAATATTATTAATAGACTTAACAAAATATTATTAATAGGCTCAATAATTTTCGATGGAGAAAGTTGTGGTATTATTAATAGGCTTAACAATTTTTCATGCAGAAAATAGTAAGAAACATTAAAATAGTATGTGAAATACTTAAGTGCTAACATTTTTTTACGATGCAAGAGTTGGATGGTCACTGAATAATCGTTAATTTTTATAGTGATTAAATTTTTATAATTTTTTTTACGGAATGATAGGTGTCATTTTTTATTTAAATTAAAAATTAAAATTCTTTTGTATTTTTTATTCAATATTCTTTTGAAAATATACCAATATCTTGGTTTCCCCGTAATAAACCAATATTGTAAGAACCCACACCACTAATTAAGAAAATTAATTAGATAATTATGAGATAATTTCATAATTGACCCTAATAATTATTATGAGGCTTTAGTAATTATAGTAAGTGAGTAATAATGTTGAAAGTCGCTTTTCTGACGAAAAGTGCAAATACCGGTTATGCTAGTCGGTATAAAATGCGTACCGAAAAAGTATCCCAGAAAACTATAATAAATGCATGAATATTCCTAGAATAATATGTAGGACTTTTAAAACAAGTTTCAAGTCAAAATAATGAGAACTGGTGTCAGAACTGATACTGGCTATGGAAAAGCGCGTACCGGAAAGGTGCTCCGAAAAATAAAATAAAAATATGATAAATCTTAGAAAAATGATTAGGTTCAAAATCTAAAATTTGAGATTAAAATGTTAAGCGTAGCTATTTTCGTTAATACTGTGTGTTTAATTTTAAGTGAGCTATAAATACTCACTTTGGCCCAAAACCCTAGGCCACATTTTATCCAACGTGAGTCACTTGCTGAAGCTCTCAATCAGCCACCCTCTCCTCCTTTCGAACTTGAGTTTTCTCTTTAGAATCTCCCCAAGGTCTCACCTTTCCTTTGATTCTTCCTCTTTAGAGTTGTAAACACTGTCTTGTTGGGAATTGTGAGGGAGTGTGGTGTAGCCTTTTGAGTGTTTGCTGCTGCCTTGGGTGGTTGAGGGCTGAGTTGTTGAGTCTTGTGGAGGGAGCCTTGTTCTTGTTCTTTGAGGCTTCAAGAAGCCATTTTGATGGTGAAATGTCAAAGCTTGTTGTTGATTTTCGTAGTCTTGGTGGGTCAGAATCTATGTGCTGTGTAGAGGACCCCTTGTGTGCCTCATTTTCGGATTTGTGGTGCATTAGAGGTATACTTGATCGTAACTCTTGTCATTTTGATGTTTTAAGCTTGTTTAAGCAATTAAAAATCATAACTTGAACCATTTGATAAAAGGAATGTGTTTCTGGGTTCATATCATGTTAATAAACATCTGTTTAAGGAGTTCTTGGACTCCAGATCGAGTTTGGATCATTGGAGGTCGATTTTACCTTTAAAACTCAGTTTTCTGCATTCTGTCGAAGAAGTATTCGAATACTTTTTGGGAAGTATTCGAATACTTTTCTGGGAAAATGCAGTAATCGAATACTTCACGAGACAGCAGCGACCTAGTTTAGTAAATTGAGTGAGGTTTGGACCTATGTGAAGCTAACACATAGGGCTACAACCATATAAATTTTCAAATCCATTTGATAAGTGTATTTCTCTCAGTGTATTTTTGAAGACGAGACTCTATTGCTGGAAATTCAGCTTGTTGTAGGAACTTTGCAAAAATCATAACCGAAGTTATACAACTCTGATTGAGGCATAAGATATGTCGTTGGAAAGCTTGAGGTGTCTAGTTTAACATAGTAAGATATTAGAGTATTTGATAAAGATTTGCAACATTAATTTTAATCTGGTAGTCGAATACCCCTTGCAGGAGTATGGGAATACTTTTCTGGGAAGAAAAGTATTCGGATACCTTTGAAGAAGTATTCGAATACTGGAAAGTATTCGAATACAGTGAGGTTTGGTATTCGGATACTGTGTTATTCGGATACTGGGGGGAAAAGTATTCGGATACTTGGTAGTATTTGAATACTTAAATGAAAGTAATCGTATACTTTCTGGAGAGCTGGAGTATTCGAATACTACTCGTGGAGTATTCGAATACCTCCTGCAGAAAATGCATAAAATGACTTATAATGAGATGGAAAGCCTTAATCACTTAATGTAACCTTGATAGATGGTTATTGATGATTACTTACTGTATAAACAGATTATGATTGTACTGTTTGCGGGCTTTGAGCTAGTGTGGACTCTTGGCTTGGATAGTTAGCTTGCAAGGTAAGCTTTCGTGTCCTCGGTTTAGCCATGTTGTGGTTCCACCATGTCCCACGGGGGTATGGTTATATGCATGCTGTGTTACATGCTTTTGATGTTTTGGAAATGCTATTGAGTTGTTATATGCTAGTGTCTTTATGATATGCATGTGGTGTTCCACTTATATGGTAAGCCTGAGTATGTGGTACATACAAGATGGTGAGGCTGTGGGTGAGGTACAAGCGATGTTCCTTGTACTATCTGTAGGAGATAGACGTATTCCTGCATTTCTCTGGCCAGTAGAATAGTATCAACACACATGTCATGAATATCGGTTGCACTGCATAGTTTTGAGAACTTATACTGATGTAAATGCTGTTAGAACTTATATTGCACATGTAAGTGAGCTTGGGGTGGAAGATCCTTGAGGACCCCTTGTCTTACTGAGGTTTCTAGTTTAGAGATCTCACCCCACGTTTGGGGCGTTTATTTCAGGTTCAGGTAATGTTGAGACCTCAGGCGGCAGGAGGCCGGAGCTGAGTTAGATTTGCTGTTATTTATGCTGACATGTTGGATGCTGGATTTGCATGCTGATTATATGTTTATAGCTTCAGTTTATGTTTATGGAGTTTTATGTTGAAACTTGTTGTTTACGCTGTTTATTTGGTGAGCATGGGGATTATCCATGACACCTAGTATTGTTTATGTCTTGAGTCTGTTGGGAGTTGTAATAATGTATCAGGATATTGTCCGAATTACGAGATATAATGTCGTGATTTAGATACACACTTTATTTATATATTGAGTAATTTCAGTAGATGTCTTATTGCAATTTACATACAGGTGATATTTTATGAAATTGATTAACTAATCAACTTGGTTAAGTTTAATGACGTCATAATTGAAAAAAAAAAGAATATTCCGCAATTTTAATTAAGCACCGCTTAATACGATGTAATGTTAATATTCCGGGTATACACGGGGTGTTACAAATATCAACGCCAACACTAATGTTATGGTGAATTGGTTACCAATGGTATTACTATTTTTAAAATGACAACTCAATTCTCAATGTAAAAATACATGACCACAACGCCAACTTTAATTATCATTTTATATATATATATATATATATATATATATATATATATATATATATAGGGCTTATCATTTCTCAAGCTGCCGGAGATAAAGTTATCTTCGGCTACTAAATCATACCCTTAAAAATATTAATAAATTAATATAAGGAAATAAATAAATAAAACGACGTAGTTTTGGGGTAGTCGGAGATAAACTTATCTCAAACTGCTTGAGAAATGTTTTTCCCACATATATATATATATATATATATATATATATATATATATATATATATATATATATTCTGCAACTTTTATGTTACATTGAACGAATATTCAGGAATCATAAATTCACATAATTTGTTTTTCTTGCCGTTATTATTATGAGTTTAATTAGCAACGTTTAACAGAAAGGAACTGCCTTGAAATATTAAACATAATACCATAAAAGAAGATGGCAAACTTCGTAGTTTTGTACATTTTCCTTTTTTCTCATACTTATTTCACAATATTGTTCAGCTTTGAAACAGTAGCAGAGGGTGCCATTACAACCTCATTCGTCCACTTCCCACCGACCCATTGTGTTTTGTTGATCTCCCTGTCACATAATAATTACAATTAAAACCACCAGCAAATGTTATATTTGCCTTTTCAAATTTCATTCTATATTTTTTTGAATTTATCTTTTCAAATTCATTCAACCTAACCATTAATGTCGTTTCATTTATGTCTTTACAAATTCCAATTAATCTGAACATTCAATTTTCATTCAATTTTTTTTTTCAAACAAATAGCAAGTGTTATTTTTACTTTTTCAAATTTCATTCAATTTGTTTTATTAATTTTTTACAAATTCAATTATATACATTTAATCCCGATTAAGTTATGACTAACAGTGGGAACTGCAGATAACCCAAGAGTCAAATATTTTAGTTGAGTTGCTGATTTTTGGGATGAGCACTAAATTTTTTTCCTAATCATTTACTTAGATTATTGTGCCCTTTGAATTTTTCCATACATATTGTAATTCCAAATGTTTTTCAAATTACTATCATTTTAAAATTCTAATGTCGTTTTATTTATGACTAACTGTGGGAACTGCAACACTATAATAGCAATTAAGGAATTGAAGCAATTTGCATTGCAAGTGCAGCACTATTTTAGCTCAGCTATTAAGTTACCACAACTTTTAAGTTTTTCATACCAATAGAAATACAACAGGTACAATAAATAATTTAAAAGTTTTAATAGACTCAACAACTTTCAATGTTAGTTTAAAAATATATTAATATATGAATTTTTAAATTATTTAAAATCCCTAATTGAATATTAATGGTTTTGCATTCAAAAATAATTTTTTAAAATCTTAATTGAATACACCCTTTAAATAATAATAAAAATTTGGTCTCATAGATATTATTTAAAAATATATTAATCCTTAATTTGAAATCAATTCAGAATTCGAATTTCAAAAGAGTGAGGAATGAGAAGAAAATCGAAATATGTGCATTAAAAAGAAAAAAACAATACCTGATTGTGAAAAGATAGTTGAACATATTTACCGCGAAGTCTTGATATTATCAGTGCATCTACTGAAGGTATCTTCATTTTAATTAAAAACTGCACCACATAATTTCTTTGGAAGTAAAAAAAAAAAAAAAAAAAAAAGGAGTTATTAAATATTAGAGTTTTGAAAATGAAGAAACGTCCAAACTCAAATAAATGTACAAACTATAGAGAAAATTGATGAAAGATTTTATAATAATCTACTCTGTTATCATTCTTTAAAAGAAATAATGTCAAGAATCCCAAAAATGTTTCATACTCATACATATAAAAGAAGGGGGAAAATAAATTATTTCTACCTTACTAGTAACATAATATTTTTTATTCGTAAATTTTAAAACGAGTTAGTAGCCGAACTTGTAGACACTTATCAACAAAAATAGTTAGTTACACTGTGAATCTTAAGCAGATCTTTTAAATACATATAAAAGTAAAATGCATATAAACAATATAGTTTTTAAGAGTTGGAAGTCAAACCCATATTGATCTTCTGCTAAGACTGCAGCATTGACTATTATTTCTTTAACCAGCAGAAATATAGCTTGTCCCTGATCAACATGGCCCAGACATTTTTGAATAATAGGAGATCCGTATTTATCTGTTGCAATATTAATGCAATTCTTTGCTACTTCATCCAAAATAACCTGAACGAAAATTGTCAATTAAAGATTAATTGATGAAAAAAGTCTTAAAATCTCTGGTCGCCGTTCTAGCTAGGATATATCTAAACAAGTTTTTTTTTTTTTTTTTCAATGTAAGAATAATTATCAAATCGCAGTATCATATACATGCAATGTACGTAATCAAAAGAAGCACAAGAATATGGGATATTATTATTGTGTGCATTACTTTTTGATATGCCGGTGGGAAAAGTTTCACGCAGTGCTGAATGACATAACCACCATTGGCAGTTTTCATCAATGTGAGAGTGATACGCTTCAGAGCAAGTACAAATGCATATATCTTTTCTGGGGTTTTGACATTCACCAGTATTTTCAGCATAGCCCGACTCCTATATATGTTGGAGGTTAAGAGGTTGAGAGAAAATGGTTTAGAGGTGCTTAAAGTATTACACCAAGAGATATCAAAGTTTGGAATGCTCAACAGTGTTACCTCCAGCTTAGGAAACCCTAGATATAATGCAAGCTATTGGGCTCCAGCTCATATGGACCCAAACAACCTTGCTTTCACTTATTGGGCTTATATGTGAACATATATATTATTGGATTATATATTTAATATATCCAACAATCTCCTCTTATGTTCACCATATAGCACAATCCAATAGATTGATCAATATAATGTTCAAACAAATATGAATCATTCATATCCAGTCCAAGACAATTAACTCGGATCAATCAAAGAGTTTTAATGGTAAAATATTAAACTCAATCGTCATTTTCAATCTAAATAAATAAATCATCATTATCATGAATCTGTTCTGAGACCAACATACTAAAGTAAATATTTAGAGTTTTAGATTCAATCTAAACTCATCCAAATCCCAATATCCAAAATAAGTCTCAAAATCAGTTCACAATCAACAATGTTCATAAATTAAACATAGCAAAATGTAAGTCTCAAATAAATGGACTCCATCAAAATGGGCAATAGCAGGTGAATTATTAAGTCCCCACATACTCTAAATGATATATGCATTCATCAAGGAAGTGATCTTAGTCAAGATACCTCTCATCAAGCTCTCCTCCATCTCTGCCATCCTCTGTAGAATATCAAGTATGAATTTCATATTATTATGAATTCAATCGGTTGAATATTCTACCAAAGATGTCTAGTTCTACTAAAAGAACTTAGCATCATATCATCAGGCAAAGAAGAACATATATTAATGTCATAAAGCATCGCAATATTATGTTCATAAGCATCAAGCAAGTTTCATAAATTATGAACAAGGCCTAAACAGTTTGTTTTGCAAAGAGCCATCAACTTAAGTTTATTTGTAAGAGAATAACTATTGTTTAGTTTCAATGAACAAAACCATTAGTCAAGTTACTTACAATAACCTAGTCATGTGATGTCAAGTTCCAATTAAGAACATGACCCATAGGCTTCTTATGCAAACAACTATTTCAATGTTTCAATTTGGAATGTCACAATTACTGATTCCTCAAAGTCAAATAATCTAGCATCAAGTTTGGAATGAGATCATTTAACCAAAAGGGTGGTCCAACCAGGTTGGATTGTATCATCAAGTTTGGAATGACACAAGTTTCCCAAGTAGAACCTTTGAATCAGGTTTAAGTTATCTTCATCAAGTTTGGAATGAGACAACTTACCCTTTTCAAATTAATCAGCCACTATGAACATTGATGAAACATATAAACAGTGCTTATCATTTTGGCCAACAAAAGAAAGATTCGATAATTCAAAACACACAATTAAAAGGTAAGTAAATGGTAATTAAGACTTATCTATATAGTCTTTAAACTCATTTCCCCCACTGTTTTGAATAATCGATCTTTAGGCATATCTTTTGTGAGAGAATTAGCCAAGTTATCCTTCGATCTCACATTGATCAAGGTGATTACTACTTATTTTCTCAGATAATTCAACAACGCATGTCTCAATCTTATATGTCTTCTCTTTGAATTAAAGAGAGCATTTTTTAACAACTTGGACAGCTGCTTGATTATCACAAAACAGGCTTAAAGAATTAATCTTTAGCCTAGTCAAAGGAATATCCATAATCAGATTCTTCTTCCACTTTGCCTCTTCTCCGGCTAAGGCTAAAGCAAAAAGTTCTGATTCCATAGACGACAATGCAATAAAAGTCTATCTTTTGGATTTCCAAGCAATAGTAGCTCCACCAAAAGTGAATATATATCCACTGGTGAACTTACTATTTCTGATTTCTGAACACCATGACGTATCAGAATATCTATCTACAATTGAAGGATAACCAAAGTAGTGTAGAGCATAATCTTTAGTACCTTTAAGATATTACATCAGCCTATCGAGGGCATCCCAATGCTCTTTACTAGGATTACTAGTGAAATGACTTAGCATGCCAACTGTAAAGGCTATGTCAGGTCTAGTGCAACTTGCAGCATATATGAGACTACCAATCAGTCTTAAATACTTTAACTGATCCACACTGGTCCCTTCATGAGGACTCAATCTTTTATTATAATCACATGGTGTCTCACTCAGTTTGCACTCACTGTATCCGCAGGTAGAAAGTAGCTGCTCAATATAATGAGTCTGGCTAAGGGAGATAACGTGTCTATCAAAGCTTACTTTCATACCAAGAATGGTATTAGCAATACCAAGATCTTTCACATCAAATTCTTTAGCTAAATTAGCTTTCATGTCACTCACTACAGAATGATCAAAACCAAGAATTAACATGTCATTCACTAGTTGTCTTTACATCTATTTGATGCACTACATAATGTTCAATAAATGTCAAAGCAAGAAGAATTCTTATAGTCGATAGATGGTACACAGGTGAGTCGACATCAAAATAGTCTACTTCACTTTATTGTCTATAGCCTTTAGCTACTAAATGTGCTTTATATCTAGCTATCGATCCATCACTATTCAGTTTTTTTTTCAGTACCAACTTACAGCCTATAGCCTTAGCTCTTTTGGCAAATTGACTAGCTGTCAAGTAAAATTCTGCAAACAGAGAGCTCATTTCATCATCTATGGCTTCTGCCAACAATAGAGATTCCCTAGATCTCATCGCTTCTTGATAGGAGAATAGATCATCCTCTAGATGGTAAGTGACAAAGTCCTCGCCAAAGTCTTTGGGAACTCTCTCTCTTGTAGATACTCTAACTGAAACTGATTCAACAACCAGTTGTGTGGGGTAAGTGTCAGAAGGGCTTGCTTCAGATTCTATAGGAGATTCTAAAATCATATCTGTAGATCCAGAAACACTCAAGCCATGATCTTTGATAAACTTATTCTCAAATAATTCTGCATCTCTGGATTCTATCACCATAGTTGTAGATAGATCCAAAAATCTATTTGCAGCACTATCTTCTGCACTTCCTAGATATACGCAAGTAATGGTTTTAGGTCCCACCTTAGGTCTGTTAGGATCTTGTATTCTTACATAAATAATACATCCCCAAGTCTTAAGAGGATCATATCTACAAGAGCGCTTATGCCATATCTCATAAGGAGTCATAGACAACTTAGAGTGCGGCAACCTGTTCAGGATGTGATTGGCAGTTAGAACTGCTTCTCCCCAATAGGAGGAAGGCATGCCAGCTGTAAGTAACATAGAGTTTAACATTTCAGTTAATGTCCTATTATTACGCTCAGCAACACCATTTGATTGGGGTGAGTAAGGAGCAGTGGTTTCAAGTATTATGCCCTCTGAAGTGAAAAATTCCTTGAACCTATCATTGTGTACTCTCCTCCTCTATCACTCCTAAACCTCTTAATTTTCAAGTTGAGCTGATTTTCTCCTCTTGACTTAAAAATCTAGAACCTTTCAAAAACTTCATCATTCGATTTCAACAAATAGACATGACAATATCTAGAAAAATCGTCTATGAATTAAGTACTTTTGACCACCTCTAGTAATATAATTTCTAAGGTCACAAAGGTCAGAATGTATCAGATCAAAAAAAAAAATTATGTGCTTTTAGAAACCGACTTAAAAGGTTTTCTAGTGATCTTAGTTTATGCACATACTTCACATTTGTCAAATCGAATAGAAGCATTTAATAGAGTATCAAGAGTTTTAGCTAGATGTTGCATTTTCTTGTAGTTCACATGTCCAAGTCTATTATATAACAACTTTGGATCAATTAAAGTTGAACTCACATGGTTTATGCTCACAGTTTCTAAACTCAATCTATACATACCGTTAATCATGAATGCACAACCAAAATAACAAGAGTTAACAACTAAAATTACTCTATCATTCATAATTAAGAAAGGCATACAAGCTTTATCAAGAAAAGATACCAATTTCCTTTTAAGTAAAAGTATTACTCTAACTTGTTTTAGAGTTAGTAATTTACTTGAAGAAAGCACCAAATTTGCAGTTCCAACATGAGTCACATCTGTCTCATTACCACTGCAATTTTCACTGTGTCTTTCACTTCTATGACCTTAGTGAGTAAATTTCTATCATTTGTAGTATGACAGGTAGCACCGTTCTCCAACCACCACTCAAAAGAGACATTGGCCTTTCCATTCTTCATCATTCCAATGAAAGCTTGAGGCTTAGGTTCATTAGTTAACATATTAGCCTCATTTTGTGGTGTGTTGTTTTTTTTTAACTTATTTGGTAGCTTACACTCTGCTGCCCAGTGATCTCACTTTCCACAGTTATGGCACTTGTCCTTCTTCTTCTTTTGAAGATAGTCTTTTTGGCCTCTAACTATGAAGAAGATTCACCTTTTGGTGACTTGGACTTCTTCTGAGGTTTATTGGAATGCGAAACTAAGTAGGCAATTAACTTTTATTGTCTTATTTGTTCCAAACTCTTCCTAGAATAGTTTTGATCCTAAATATAAAAAAACCCCTTTAATTTATCCAGTTCACTTTGTTCTTTCAGTCTTGAAAGAACTCTATTCAGCAGATAGTTTACTCAATGCAAGTCGACAAAAAGATTATCAGACATATCAGATTTATCATCTTTTAACTTGTTCCTTATGTTCTCAAGTTTAATTAACTGAATTCGTATTAAATTTGAATTCAAATAACTTCTCTGCTATGAGAGCTTTGGAGAGCCCCTCTTGTTTTGGAACTAAGCATTCAAGTGATTTAATATCTTTTTTCATCGTCTTATATTCACTACAAGTCATAGCGAGATGAATATTTAGAGAATTTAGCAAGCAATCCCTACAAAATTATTCATCTTTGTTCCATTGATATTAATCCATAATTTTCAATGGTAAATGCAAGATCATTTAATATATTATGGAATATTTCATGTTCTTCCATGCCAAATTGAACATGTAATTTCCAACCATAAAATTCAATAACATCAAATGATTTCATTTCATAATATCATAGGA